AATTTGAGAAAATTTAGTTGCATGGTGTCAATAAAAAAATTGACGTTAACCTTAGTCTTATTAAAATAAACGAAATAAATGAATAAATAATAATAAAATACATTTAAGTAGAGTTAGATGGTTTTTTGATTTGTTACAGGTAATTATTTCATTTCTTATCAACAATTTGAAAAAATATTGTCAATATTTTCTTTCATTTGCTGCTTTTTGACATTCCAATAATGCCATTGTCTTAGTTGACACCATGCAACTAGATTTTATTAACTTTTATTATTTTTTTAACTTTGATGATTTTTTCAAAAGTGAAACATATTTTACATGTTTGTACCAAGAAAACTAATGCCTTAAAATTAGAACGTTGAAATTAGCCCAAAATTTAGTATGACATTTAGAAAAATTCTAAAATTGTCAGTTTATATGCTATGGAATAAAAATTCTACATTGTCTCCTTTTTTTTCAAAAAAATCACTCCGTATATACTTTTTTGACATGTGAAAAACCTATTAACAAACTGAACTAGAACTAGAGTTCACACATCGGATTCGCAAATATTTTATAGAAATTTAGGTTCCAAATTGCAAAGCACTTTTTTCCCGTTGGTCCAGCTCTCCCGTATTTACCCTACTTGCTTTTTTCTACATGCACTTTCGTTTTCGTTAATTTTTTGTAGTCTGTTTTTGTTGTTTTATGTCCTCAGATATAACGCTTTGAAAACACAAAACACAATTTTTCTCCACCAATTTTTTGACTTGGTAATTTTCATGTAAAGAAAAAACAAAATTTACGTTGTTGATACTACGTGACGCCGAATTTCAAATGTTAAAAAATAAAAATTAGAAATGTCTGTCTATTTTCCTCTTTTTTAGAATTGACTATTTCACAAAATAATTAAAATAAATTTCATTAATTTATTTCAATCGCTCTCCTAAAAAAGTTAATTTAATTGAATGTTTGGTACACGCTATTTAGACTGTAATTTTTCGTAATGAAAAAATAAATAAATATTTGTGGTGAAACTTTTTAATAAATTTGTTGTGAAATAATCTTAACAGGGAGGGTTTTATCCTCTCGACTCGCATTTATTATTTATGTGACCAAGTTTTATTCGAATCCTGTTTTCGTCGATATGAAAACAAGATGTAGTCACGTGAAATATTTCGAAATTGTAATACTGTAACCTGGCAATCATAATTACAATCCTGAAACATTTAAACCACATTAACTCGATAGATATGTACACAAATATCCACTCGGTAATGAATTACTTATACTACACGTACGTACAAGCATACATAATAAAAACATTGTTAGTGAACCTTTTAATTATTCAAGAGAACAAATATAATTAAGTATTAATGGGCGTAAATTTTTAATGTAGTAAGAAGGGCATGTGACGTCATTTTACGTGTCGTTGGGGCGCAGGAACAAAAAAGGGGTTTGTTTGAAGCTTTCACAACGACGATGTGAATTTTTCATTCCATTATCGCACTAGGACTTAAATTGATTCATTTTTCTGTTTTCAGGCCAAGTTATTGGAGTCTTCCCATGCTTGGCTCGGTGCCTCTACGTCTTCTATAGCCGGTAAGTGTCAACGGTTTAAACACTGTTTCATAATTCAACAAGCTTTGTTACAAGCTTTGATTTTTCTACTATTATTTTTATCGGCTTTGATTGCCAGTTTCACCATGTTCTACTTATAAATTTACTCCACTTTAATATTACATACTAAAATTAATACCGATGTGACATTTGATATGACTCGTATTTTATTTACTGCCACGCTAAAGTAAAGTCTTACATTTTTATTTTAAGTACCTACTTATAAAGGAAAACCATCCTCCTCTATATTTATATTTTATGGAATGCAAAATATTAGACATTAAACCTCATTTCTCTACCTGAAATTAAATTTATAAACAGCAATCATACTTTATCATTGATCCGTTTCTAGTCGATAACTACAAGATGTGTCAACATTGTTATTAAATATTTGATATTTTATAAATACCACTAAAATAATTCGCTTTGAGAATACCAAACATTTTTGTGTGAAGTAAAAAATCAATGAAAATAATCGTTGAATGTTGACTGTGAAAGTTTTTATGCACAAAAGAGGGATAACTTTGTGTACAAAAAAATTTCAGGTGTTTACACGCGTCAATTTAATAATAATAATAATAACGTTTTTAGGTCAAGTTTGGGAAAAACTGACTTTTTCGTTTTTCTCACAATCGCAAAAATAGAGGAGAAATTTCTGATCAAAGTGGCCTTTGACGTTGAAATGGAGTTGGCAACAATGAATAACAAGAGTTATGAAACTTTTATTTATTTTGACAGAGTTTCGGAGAGTAATGAGAAGCTAAGAGTTTTGGGTTATTTTGCTCACTTTACTACCTGATCTTGAGCCTTTTTTTACTGAAAAAATTGGAGAAATTAAAAATTAATATGGAACTAAATTTGGTACTTTTATGTGGGTCCAAGGGGGCATAAAGCGTTTTTAAAAAAACAAATTTTTTCGTATTTTTCAAAATCGAAAAATCGAAAAAATAATCGAGAAATTTTGATTGCAAAAAAATTTTGAGATATGGTCTATATGTAAAATTGTCATATCACCAATGAAATACCATTTTGACGAATGGTTTTCGAATTTTCTGGAGATTTTTATCGTTTGTTTATTTTTCGAAATTTTTGAAAAAATTACCTATATATTTTTAAAACTAAACGACTTTTTTTTTTTAATTAGTGTAAGGGTATAAGGGTAAAAATATCAATGAAATTAATTTGTCATGAATGTTGACCGTGAAAGTTTTTATGCACAAAAAAAATTATCAGGTGTTTACACGCGTCAAGCATTGAATAAATTTCCGAACATAGTGACCTATGATGTTGAAATGAAGTTGGCAACAATGAATAATTAGAGATTTGACAGAATTTGGGAAAGTAACGCGAAAAACTAAATATTTTGTGTTATTTTGATCAGTTTACTTATTGATCTTGAGCGTTTTTTTTATAATGAAAAGATCTGAGAAATCGAAAAATAAGTGATGTTTTTCGGACTCCTTTATTAGTTCTAAAGGACACGTAAAAGGTATAGAACGTTTTTAGATCAATCTTCGTAAAAAAATCGTAAAAATTGCAAAAATAGTCGGGATTTTTTATCAAAGTGGCCTTTGACGTTGAAATGAAGTTGCAATAAATAATGAAAGTTTTGATAATTTTATTTACTTTGGTAAAATTTGCGAGAGTAATGTAGAAAAACAAAAAATTTTGGGTTATTTTGCTCAGTTTACTCACTGATCTTGAGCCTTTTTTTACTGAAAAAATCGCGAAATGAAAAATTAATATGGAACTAAATTTGGTACTCTTATGTGAGTCTAAGGTCTTAGGTCAAGCTTGGAAAAAATAGATTTTTTTAGAATCGAAAAATTCGTAAAAATAGTCTAGAAACTTTTGATTGCAAAAAAATTTTGAAATATGATATAAATCTAAAATTGTCATGTGACCAATGAAATACCATTTCGAGGAATGGATTTCGAATTTTTGGAGCTTTTTATCGTGTTTTTTTTTAAATGTTTGAAAAAATTAGCTATAAATTAAATGAATGAAATGAATTAAACTAAACGACTTTTTTTGAAATAGTATAAGGGTAAAAATATCAATGAAAGTAATTTGTCTTGAATGTTGACCGTGAAAGTTTTTATGCTCGAAAAATTCGTAAAAATGCTCGAAAAAATTTAAATTGCAATAAATTTTTGAAATATGGTCTAAATGTGTAAATGAAATACTATTTTAATGAATGGTTTTCGAATTTTCTTGAGATTTTTATCGTGTTATTTCTTTGAATTTTTTTGAAAAAGTTAAGTTCTTATATGAAATTTTTAAACTAAATTAAACGACTTTTTTTGAATTCCTGTAAAGGTCCCAGGGACCACGTAATACGATTTTGTTGTCAAATTAAAAAAAAGATAATTTATTTTTTAATTTTGATTCTAAGTACAAAAAATTTTTTTCAGAACAATAAGAAGTCTCGACAATATTCAAAATTGGCAACTTAATTTCAGAGTTAGGCTATTTTGACTGTGTAAAAATGTTGACTGAAAGTTTTTATTCACTTTTGCCCAAAAAAAATTGTCAGTTTAGTAAGTTTTTATGAAAAAAAAAATAATTTCAGCGTTCAGCGGAGACGGGTTTTTAGCCTCAAATTATTTTTAATTTTAACTAGAAATGCCGTGTAATCTGCGAACACCCTGTATGCCGCATTTAATTAAAATTGTGTACAATGGTATAAGAGTGGCCGCCCATCTCAGCGGGGTGAAAAATTCGGATTCAATTAAGATCTGGTATAATTATAAATCGGTTCGATAACAATACTAGAATAGGGCGCACAATCATGTCGATTTCTGTATCGACTTCCCGCCAATCAATTAACAATTAAAAATTTCATTATTTTATAACAATGAGATTCAAATAACAAAGTAGTTAAATAAATTAGCAACACTACAGGTCAAGCCGTAATGGAATCATTAAAGATTAACATCAGGTCCGTCAGCTATCTCAATACTCGAACAACAGTCGATATAACATTAGAAATAAATTATGTATTTAATTAAATTTATTTACTGCAGTTAATAATGTATTAATGAAACAGTTGCTATTAATGTGCAAATGTTTAATTTCATTGTGGCGTTTTATGTATAATTTATAAAATTATTGACTGAGTTTCAACACAACACTGCTTTACATTCGTACAAGGGAAATTCCGCGCCTTATTTTCTATTTATTACCCTGCAAAAATTATTTTGGTGAGTACAAAAAAAAATTGCATTAGAATAAAAATCGCACATTTTGAAATAATTAATCACAATTGGAGAGAAACCTGAAAATCCTGAAAATAGGTTTTAAATCGTATTCAAGAAGCGTTTTTGGTTTAGTGACTCTTGATAATCGATTATCCTTCATTCAAACTTCCTACGAGCTACAAGCAGGAGATCTAAACTTGGCTTTACGATCACTTCCGGGTCGTAGATTTAATTTTTTCAATGATTGGATTTTTTCAAATCAACAAGTTGTACTCTGGTTTTAAACGTTTTTGTATTTTTGTGCTGAATGCAATTTTTTATTTCAATTGCAAGAATAAGAATTCTTTTAAGATTGTGAAACTTTTTTTTAATAAAAAAACATTTATTTTGACAGAATTTGGGAAAGTGACGCCAAAAACTTAAAATTTTAGGTTATTTTGCAGGGTTTACTCGCTGATCTTGAGCGGTTTTTTTACCAAAAATCGGAGAAACTGAAAAATAAATATAGAACTAAATGGCGTTTTTTGTGAGTCCTATGAGACATAAAAGCGTTTTTTTGTAAAATTTGGAAAAATGTTTTTTTTTCTATTTTTCCCACTCGAAAAAATTGGAAACTTTTGATTTCAAAAAATTTTAAAATATTTATAAAATGGTGATGGAAT